AATAAATATATATATATATATATATATATATATACCTTTATTTTTACATTTTTGATAGAGTTCAGTTTTGCAGTCTGCCCATGAAAGGCAGGTATTCATACAGACAACCACGGCTGCAGTACACTGCATAAAAACAAATTGAGAGGGAACAAAATTAAAGTCATATTTGTGTTTTGAAACAAAGTTCAACTTTGTTGTTTCTCTGTAGAAACAATAAAAAGTACAATTAAAAGACTACAGCAACTCTCAAATGTGAAAGCAGAGCACCACCTAGTGAGCTACTGTATAAAAAAAGGAGGATGGGTAAAAAAAAAAACACAAAAAAAAACAAGTGAAAGGAATGTTAAATTTTATTTTATGATAAATACTGGATCATAGAAACCCTTTATAATGGTGATCAATATGGTGGATTATTTGCCATTTTTCTCCCAATGAAACACTAGATGCTAGTAAAGTGTATTGGAGTTTGCAGGAGCTTTTGAAATGTTTCTGAGAAAGTTAATATATTCCCCAAAGATTTTTAAGACTTGTCCGAAACGGTCGTGTTTGTTGACAACACTAATAAAATAGCATACAAAAAAAAACGTGTGGCTGATTTTTCTCCATGACCTTTGTAGGGTTAACTAATGTGCAGCAGCAGAATTGTAGGATTTGAGGGTAAATGATTAAAAGAAAGGCAGCACGGTGGCACAACTGGTAGAGCTGCTGCCTCTTAGCGAGCAGGTCCCTGGTTCAAACCCCGGTCCAGGGGCCTTTCTGGGTGGAGTTTGCATGTTCTCTCTGTGCATGCGTGGGTTTTCTCCGGGTACTCCGGTTTCCTCCCACAGTCCAAAAACATGCATGTTAGGCTGATTGGTAACTCTAAATTGTCTCGTGTGTGCGTTAGAGAGTGAATGGTTGATTGTCTCGTTTGTCTCTATGTGGCCCTGTGATGGACTTGCGACCCGTCCAGGGTGTACCCCGCCCCTCGCACAGTGATTGCTGGACATGGGCACCAGCGACCCCCGTGACCCAAAATGGAATAAGCGGGTAAAGAAAATGGATGGATGGATGGATGGATGGATGGATGGATGGATGGATGGATGGATGGATGGATGGATGGATGGACGATTCAAAGAAACGAGGGAACTCTTGAAGAACATGAAGCGTTGTTTTATGATACTCTGTGCTTGGAGGTACTCACTGTGGAAAGATAACAATCTGTATGAACGATATGAAGCAGAACACCAGCAGAGTACAGGCAACGTAGCCGCCGAAACGGTCATCTACTTTCTTAGAATACTGCAAAGATAAAAAGAGATGAGAAAATCCAACATGAGCAGAAGATCTTTTGCAGAATTGGTCGTTTGAGGTTGGGGAGCTCTAACGTTCAGTCTTCTTAGTTGGCACCTTTTTTTCCAGACTCGTGTTCTGGAAAGTGAGCAGGAACTTCCTGACGTGGTCTTTTCTGAGCTGGTCAATACTGCGAGCATCAATGGCTCTCCCCAGAAATTCATCTACCTCATCCTCTGGATTCATGGCCTCCTGAACCCCTCGGCTGCCAACAAACAAAAACACAAGCTGATCAGGAGGCGGCAGAGTAAACAAAGTCCCCCCCAAGTTATACGTCAGCAGCCGGTGCTCACTTGTCTTTACTGGAGGACTCATCGATTCCCTGCAAAGAACAGAGACGAGACTTAATCAGGACTCGGAGAGAGAAGCAGCAGCCAGCCTCCTCCTCCAGCATATTGATGTCCAGCCTCACCATTTGTCTGAAGACTTTGGAGTCTTTGGTTCTGGAGAAGGTTCTGTCGGGGACCCAGCGTGGCATCAGCCCCTCGTTAGAGTTGGCTCGCGTCCGCTGCATCTTCGCCATCATCGCCTTCTCCTCCTTCTGCTCAGAGAGAACAACACGAAGGCAAAACCAGCTGACCAACTGTTCTCATGCGACACCACACATGGCCAACGTCAAGACGGGTGACTAAGAGCGCCGAGCAAATCTGGATTATTTTTTTTTTCTCCCTCTGCCCCGTCGAAAGAATCCAACAGGCGGACTTCATTTACAAGTTTGTCACTTCCAGAGGAGTCACACACTTATTTATATTTCCTCAAGAGGAAATCCTCTGAAACTACTCAAAGCAAATTTAGGATTAACCCTCTCTAAACCTCGATTCAAATGTGTTTTTGGAAAATCCAGATGTTTCCTGAAACAACCGAGCCCAGGTAGGAAGGAGCTGTGTATTCACATGAGACGGAAAATTAAACGGAAACTTGACATCCATTAAGACATTTTTAAAATTTTTAATCTGACTCATAAATCCGCTCGTGTTAAACACGATGTGCCACTTCCTGTGCTGCAGAGAAGATCCTGCATAATGTGAAGAGATCTGAATGCTGCTTTTCACATCAAATAAAATCACTCACACTGAACTGCTCTTCTCTTCTCATCCAGAGTCCAACCTAATCACACCTGAACTTACTTTCACTCTGAGCGTGTTTGTTTAGAAGCGTTTGGTGGAATCCCAGAATAAAAAAACAGGAAAAATACAAGATTTATCTGAAGTGGGCTAAATGGTTCTGAAAATAAACCTCTTGTTTTTGCACTGACCCGTTTCTGGCTGCAGCCGAGGACCAGGAAGGTCTCGATGCTGTTCTCCTTCAGATATGCGTTCCTCTCGCCCCCGAAGCCCGGCTCCACCTCATAGTCCCCGTTCAGGTACTGCAACGTGGCCTTGGTGATGTGGATCCGCCTGGTCCGACAAGAACACCAGAAACAAGTGCTTGTTTTTATTCTGTTTCTATTTTGTTTTGTTCATAATTATAAACATTTAATAAACTTATACCAGGGATGATACACGGGCAAATAACTGAACTTGTGTTTTAAAGTTTAAGTTTTAAAATATGAAGTTACAAAATCTTCCCAAAAGACTCAAATTGAACTTTTTTTTTTTTTTTTTGAGCTGCAGGGTTTTTTTCTCTCACCCCGCTTTGCCTCCCGCCTCCATGTGATTGGCCAGCGTGACGTCGTTTGACCACACGTCAAACTGCCACTTCCTGAGTCCCAGCACGCCACAGTGCACACGTCCGCTGTGAATGCCCACGCGCATGTTAACGTTGACCCCCGTCACCTCGCGCACCAATCTGCAGACACACGAATGTCAGCGTCTCCTCTGCAGAAGACATCAAAACCGCTTCACTCCAACCAATGTGTCTATTTTTTTTTTACTTACGAGATGGCCTCGATCATGTCGACGCCCATCTCCACGCAGCAGTGGGCGTGGTCAGCCCGGGGTTCGGGCAGCCCGGACACACAGTAGTAACAATCGCCCAAAATCTTGATCCGGAGGCAATGGTTCTCCTGAGAAGGAAGAAGCAGAAGATGTAGGAGGGGAAACTACATCAACTAAAGGAACACCATGTGGGGAACATGGATGTTTTTCAGAGATGAACTACTCAGGAAATAAATGTTCCTCCTTACCGACGCCAGCTTGTCAAAACGAGCAAAGAGCTCGTTAAGGGTCATGACGAGCTCCTGAGCTGTGCACTGAGACGCCAGGCTGGTAAACCCCTCGATGTCTGCAAAGAGAATGCTGAAGCAGAGGAAAGACAAAGAACAACAGAGATCAAATACTTCTAATCCTCGATTACGAGCAACAGGTCTAAAGTTTCACTGCTGATACAGCCGTCTGGGAACGTAACGTTAGGACTGTTCACCTCAGCGGAGGAATAAAGTTTGACCTTAAAGTCGGCTCAAGGATTTCTGTGTGGCTGTTGTAGGCGTGTTTCTGAGAGGATGCTGTGTTTGCTCAGGGCTGTAATTGAATGCGTGCTGAAGCTCTCCTTCTTTGGGGATTTTCTTATCTCGGCTCGGGGTGATTAAGTATTCCCTCTCTAGTGCTAATTAGCCTCCACTCTGCCAAACCACTCAACCCTCTTCTGACTGGGAGCACCTTCACAGGTGCGTGCGTGTGTGTATGAAGCCAACAAGTGACGGTCTCAGACTTTGAAAATAAAGATATTTTGTATTTTTAATGAGTAAAATCATCTTAAGAAGCTGTTTAAGTTTTAACACTGCTAAATAAAAAAGTTAAAGTTAATAAAAGTTGCATGAAATCGAAGAGGTGAGACCAGATGTCCCTGCCCCGCCGGCTCACCTGACGTTGTCGTGTTTCTGGATATAGATCTTATGAAACATCATGTCTTCCTTCTTGGCATTGATGTCAGCCTTCATCTCCATGGCAACGTGCCTTGGTAACACTGAGAGCAACAGACGCTCCTGGAAAACACAAACGAAAAATGCAGATTGTATCGTTTGCGACGTTGCTGTTGGCTACATGTCACTCTGCACTCTTCTTTGTGTACTTGTGTGTGTGAATGCCGTCTCCTTACACAGATAAATTGTTTTCTACAGGCGCTCGTTTCTTTGAAGGACGACAGTAGTTTATTAACCGTTCTCCTAAAATCATTAAAATTATTGCAAGAAGCTACACCACAGCAATTGGAGGAAATTAAAGCTTAGCACAAACAACTTTGTTGATGCTTTTTCACACAGTAGCAACAAATTCATAAAACTTTACACATTCAGTTTGTCCACGCTGAGCAATAACTGGGAAGAGTCCACAGTCCAGCACATTTCCTATATAACTTAAGCTGCAGAAAAATTAAGTCTACTCAGACTGTCTAACTATTCCTGAAGTGGCTGTCACTTTAACATCTATAATGTTTAGGAAGTATGACGTGTTTTAGATGGCAGAAAATCTTTGATTGAAGCTTTGTGGACCAGCCATTAACAAATCTCCATGAGATTTTTTTCTTGATATCACTCTGACTGCTGTCTGCTACAGGTAAGATACTGACTACCCAGAAGGACCGCAAACAACTCCACCTAAAAAATAAAAATCACACTTACCGATATCCCTTCAAATATTTACAAGATGGATGTGGATAAAAACTAACATTGATGTAATTTGATAATAATAATTTGCTGTTCACTTCATGTAAAAAAAAAATAAATAAATAAAAAACTCCCCCCACCCCACAAAAATTTTATTCAAAAGACAATACTTGTAGTTCCAAATCAGTAAGAAAAAAGCTTCTTTTTTTTTTTAAAGTTACACAAACATGCTGAGATATCTCACAAAAAGATGCTTCTTTGAGAATGTTTACCAGGATCACTTAGACCAAAGTCCTGCCTTTTCTTCAGAGAAAATAAATGTTTACGGTTTCTCTGAACTCAAATGGAAGCTGAAAAGAGTTATACGCTGCTGCTGCTGTGCTGCTGCGCTGCTGCTGCTTCTGTGCTGCTGCTGCTGCTGCTGCGCTGCTGCTGCTGCATTGCACAGACCACTAGCTCAAAGTAAAAACATTCAGACAAGCAGGCAAGGTGTTCAAACAGCTGAGGTGGACTCATCGAGGCAGGAAACTTGCCTTTCTGATTCGATTTGAATACGATTATAAAACAAGTATTGATGTGTATCACTTGAAATGTAAAAGATGAGCACTTAATTTACATAAATAATGATTTATATATTGTTCTGCCTAATAAAGGAGGTTAAATTAAAAACTATTATTTACCTGTTATTACTAAACTATCCACCTTATTCCTGGGGGCTCTACTGTATAAATGATAATGTGCACAACTTCCTGTCAGACACAGGAAGTAGCACTAAGCATTGTCTAACCGTGGTGGTGGAGCACAGACTGCGGTTTATTTGAAAATAATTTGCGTTTTGTTCACATTTATTTAACACCCATAAAGTTTACTAAAATAGCCGTGCTGAGTTCAGGTACCTGTTGTGTTCACGGCTGCAGAATTGATTGATTGATTGATTGATTGATTGATTTTATTGTCAATTCTGCATATGTACAGGACATACATAGAAATTGAAATTGCGTTACACTCCTACTCAAGTTGCAGCAAACAACAACATTAGCAAAAATAAACTAACACAACTAGTTATATAAAAAATATAAAAGTGAACAGCAGCAGGACCTCTGATGCAACGTGCTCAATAGTGACTAACAGGAGACAAAGGGACGCTGACTGAAGACAATAACATGATGAGAGGTAGATAATGGATGTGCAAGGCCAGAGTAAACAATAGTGCAATATAAAGTATAAACCTGAGAAACTTAGTAAAGTGAAGGTGTGCATACCGGTTCTATATAGAGTCACAGTTATGTACTGATGAGGTGATTAAGTGGAAATGACAATACCAGAATTACCAGAATAGACAGGACGAGTTGATCATAACAGTAGTGCAAAATATGATGCAATAAACAGTAGAGTGAGCTTGTAGGCTGTTAAAGTGACCGAGTTCATAAACTATTCATAAAAATAAATAAATGTCCCAGAGCAGTTTTGAAGGGGGGGGGGGGGGGGGGGGGGGGGTCAGGAAGCTGAGTTAGTGTGTGCAGGGTGGCAGAAGTGGGAGAGGGGGCTGAGGGGGGACAGGCAGAGAGTTCAGCATCCTCACGGCCTGATGGACAGAGTTGTTCCACAGTCTGCTGGTCCTAGAACTGAGGCTACGCAGTCTCCGCCCTAATGGCAGCAGGTTGAAGAAGCAGTGTAGCGGGTGGTCAAGATCTCCCACCCAGCAGAGGGCTTTACTTCTGAGGCGAGAGCTGTGGAGGTCCTGAAGGCAGGGGAGAGAGGTGCCAATGATCTTCTCAGCTGCCCTCACGATCCGCTGGAGGGATTTGCGGCAGGATGCTGTGCAGGCCCCGTACCACACAGTGGAGCAGCTCATCAGGATGCTCTCGATGGCCCCCCTGTAGAAGGTTGTCATGATGGGGGTGGGGGCTCTCGCTCTTCTCAGCTTGCGGAGGAAGTAGAGCCGTTGGTGAGCCTTTTTGGCCACTGCTGCTGTGTTGATGGTCCAGGAGAGGTCCTCAGAGATGTGCACACCCAGGAACTTGGTGCTGCTCACCCTTTCCACAACAACACCGTTGATGGATAGTGGAGCATGTTTTGTCTGAGTTCTCCTGAAGTCCACAACAATCTCCTTGGTCTTCTCTGTGTTCAGCAAGAGATTGTTGCGTTTGCACCAGGAGACCAGCCGGCTCACCTCGCTCCTGTAGAGTGACTCATCGTTGTTGCTGATGAGGCCTACCACAGTCGTCTCGTCCGCAAACTTGATGAAGAGGTTGGAGGGGTGTGATGGAGAGCAGTCGTAGGTTAGTAGAGTGAACAGAAGGGGGCTCAGCACACATCCTTGTGGGGCCCCCGTGTTCAGAGTGATGATGCTGGATGTGTTGCTGCCAACCCGTACTGCCTGTGGTCTTCCGGTAAGGAAGTCAAGCAGCCAGTTGCACAGTGATGTGTTCAGACCCAGACTGTCCAGTTTCCAGATGAGTTGTTGTGGAATGATTGTGTTGAATGCAGAACTGAAGTCGATGAAGAGCATTCTGACATAGGTGTCTTTCTTGTCCAAATGTGTGAGGGCTGAATGAAGAGCAGTGGCGACGGCATCATCAGTCGAGCGGTTTGACCGATATGCAAACTGGTAGGGGTCCAGGGAGGGGGGGAGGGAGGACCTAATGTGTTGCATGACTAGTCGCTCGAAGCACTTCATGAGGATGGAAGTGAGTGCAACCGGGCGGTAGTCGTTGAAGCAGGAGGGAGACGTTTCCTTGGGGACAGGGATTATGGTGGTGGTTTTGAAGCACGTGGGGACCACAGCCTGGCTCAGTGAGGTGTTGAAGATGTCAGAGTACACCTCTGCTAATTCGCCAGCGCAGTCCTTCAGCACGCGACCAGGTATGTTGTCGGGACCAGGAGCTTTCCGAGCGTTGATCTTGCTGAATGCTCTCCTCACCTTGTCCGGGGACAGTGTGATCACCTGGTCTCCAGGAGGGGGGGTGGCTTTTTGTGCAGGTGTGCCATTCTGTGCCTCAAACCGAGCGAAGAACCTGTTCAGGTCATTCAGCAGGGAGGGGGTGCTGTCACAGGTCTGTGGAGAGGGTTTGTAGTCTGTAATGGACTGAATTCCCTGCCACAGGCTCCGAGAGTCTCTGCTGTCCTTGAAGTGTTGGGCTATTTTCTTGGAGTGCTGCCTCTTAGCTTTTTTAATGCCTCTGGACAGGTTGGCCCTAGCTGTCTTCAGGCCTGCCTGGTCTCCAGCGGCGAAGGCAGCATTCCTAGCCTTCAGCAGCTTGTGGACCTCTCCTGTCAGCCATGGCTTCTGATTAGCACAGATGGTGATGGTCTTCAGGACAGTTACATCATCAATGCACTTTGTGATATAAGCAGACAGTTTCTGTGTACTCCTGAATGTCAGTGAAGTTGTTGTGAGTAGCAGCCATTTTAAACACATTCCAGTCCGTGGTGCTAAAACAGTCCTGGAGTGCCTCAGATGAGCCCTCAGGCCACACTCGTATCTGCTTCAGAACTGGTTTGTTGACTTTAACCAGTGGTCTGAATGCTGGCATTAACATCACAGTCAGATGGTCAGAAGCACCAAGGTGGGGGAGGGCCCGGGCTTTGTAAGCTCCTCTCCATGTGGTGAAGACCTGATCCAGCGTGTTATTGCCTCGTGTTGGAAAGTCTATATGTTTATAAAGTCCAGAAAACACACTCTTTGGTTCTGCATGGTTGAAATCACCAGCCAGGATGAGAAAAGCATCCGGGTGGGCTGTCTGCTGCTCACTGATGTTCTGATATAGTTCGTTCAGCGCTTCGCTCCTGATGTTAGCGGAGCTCGGAGGCAGATAAACAGCAGCTATCAGCACAGCTGAGAACTCCCTCGGTAGATAAAACGGTCTGCACTTTATAATCATCAGTTCCACCACCGGTGAGCAGTACTTGCAGACCACAACAGCGTTGCGACACCAAGCATCACTAATGTAAACACAAAGTCCGCCGCCGCGTGTTTTACCTTCAGTGAGGACTCGGTCCGCTCGGTAGCATGTCCGCCGCTCGAGCTGAACTGCGTGGTCCGGGATGTTGTCTTTAAGCCAAGTTTCCGTGAAAACATAAACACAACAGTCCCTCACGGTCTTCTGAGTTGACTGAAGTAAGCGGATGTCATCCAGTTTGTTGTCCAGAGAGCGTACGTTGGCCAGTATCATGGAGGGGATGGCTGGCTTGTGTGGGCTAGCAGCTAGCCTCGCTCTTATACCTCCGCGCTTACCCCTCTTCTGCAGCCTCTCGTTCCGCTTGTGGCGCTTCCATTGTGGGCGCAGCGCAGCGGAGGGGGTCGGTGGTGGAGCCGGAGTTCTGAGCAAGCTGCTAGCACGCAGCCCCTCTCGAAGTTCAGAGCTAAGCTCGAAAAGTGAGCTTTTGCCGACATCAAGCAGCGATTCACGGCTGTATGTGCGCTTCAAGACGTGAGCGCACGACGGAGACGTGCAAAAATACTGCGATTTACAGGAAAAAAACACATGAAAAAGCTGCATTCTCGGGAGAGAGTGTAGCCGCAGCGTGTGCACGCGCCGCCATTAAGGGTTGAGGGCCTTGCTCAAGGGCCCAGAAAGAACAACCAGTCCAAAGTAAATCAGAGGCTACAACAACAGAGTTTTGAACACAGACCCAAAACAACAAGAGTGTTCCTGTGAAAAGTGATATAGTTTCCATCTCCTACCTGCAGATGAATTAAGAAGAATGTGGCTGAAAAATCTGAACATGTAGAGATCACCCAAAACACTGGATGTGAGCTCATTTCACTTTGTTGAGGAAAACCTGCATCCTACTTTGTGTCTGGACTACAATAAACCACCGGAGAAAAGAAGCCGGATCCTCAGAAGGATTGAAAACAGTGACGAGAACATCAGGGATGATTTCAAGTGTATGGAGGACACATCTTTATAGTATTTGTTTGTCTTCAGTTTTATGATTTTCTCTGCCATTAACCCCAGCGTGATGATGGAGGACTTTAAGGCTTTGGTTGGGCTCTGTGTCTGCTTTAAGGTCACAAAAGATTGTGTCCCACCTCTTTTTACAAAACACCACCGACCTTACCACTGTGTAGATACTGATACGCCTCAGAGCTTGTCGTCAGTCAGTAGCACCAGTGAAACAGTTAAGCCAAAGGGTCAGACATCGCTTGAACAGGCATTTTCTCGAGGGACGGCATATGACCAGAAAAGCAAGCAGTGGAGCGACATTACGAATGCAGCAACAATCCACCTATGCAAGGACCCGCTACAGACAGTCGAGAGAAATGGGCTCAGAGCAATGATTAAAACTCTGGATTTGAGGTATGTCTTACCAGGGTGAAAATATTTTAGCCAAACTGCCATCCCAATATTACACCAGCATCACCAAAGTATTGTTATATATGTTTATAGAACTATCTTAAAATATTTTGCTTGGAGAAGAAAGCCGTGTTAAAATTGGCATATCTTTTATTTTTAATATGTTGCATTTTGCACAATAAAAACAGTTTACCGGTACTTTCTGCATCTCTTTCTGCTATTTCATACTGACTTATTCATATATTGTGTAATTATTTTGGGACAAAGTAATTGATACTTTGATTTCAGCCTCGATTTAAAACCTTGTACTCCTGACAGTAAAATAAACCACAAACATATATAAAAGCCATCATGGGGAAACAATAAAAAGCTAAGTAATAAAGAAATACATTGAAACCACCAGAAACTTAACAAAAAAAACAAAAAACCCTGATACAAATTTTTAGTCATACTGCCCAGCACTAGGTTCTGTTGTGACTTGGTGCTATAGAAATAAACTGAATTGAAATCAAATGTCCTGTTTGAACTCTGACAGGTGGTGTTCCTACATGTTTAAATTAAATCCATTATCTTGGAGAAACTACATTAGCTCATACTGTTCACACATAAACAAACACCGGTTCTGGTCTGCGCCAGAAGTCGTGCCCATAATTCACGCGAGGCATCATGGGGCGTAGGAATAAGGTGGATTGAATTTATTGTAGAAATGCTAACACGATTAGCTACGGCAAGTCTACTAGGACAAAATGCACCAAACAGAAACTGCTCTGTGGATGCTCCGCACCACTAATCCAGGCAGCAGCAAGTGGTGGAGGAGAGAAGACCCTGACGCAAATTTCAGGAGCATTCCCCAAAAACTAGCGTCGCTCCAGATCTCGTCACAGCTGATGACCTTTACATGGTTCACAAGAAGTACCAGAGCAGGAAGGAAGTTACCCGTCACTTTACTAGACAGTAAATAGTGCCAGTCTGGCTGTATTGCAGCTCACCACCAACTGAACCGATCCTGTTTACCCTGTATCCCCAGGAAGTCCCTCATGTCGTCTTGTTGTCACATCAATCTGTTAACTAATCTCATAACCGCGCATGATGTCTCCTTCCAAAAGATAAATGTAGAGTGAACGGCGTGTCCGGCGTCCTACCTGCTGCTGATTCTCCCTCTGCAGATGAAGCCTGGCCTGGATGTAGCCTCGGGTCTCCTGAAAGGCTTGTCTCTGGGAAACTTCAGCCGGGTAGTGGGTACAGATGCCGATGATGTTGGTGCACAAGAAGATGAGAACGTTAGCGCTCACCTGGAGAGAGCAGAGCAAGGGGATTGTCAACTAACTGGAAAAATAAAAAGAGCAATTTTTACATATTTTCAATCTCCTATGAGATACTTCCCTTAAACAAACAAAAAAGCCAAGAATCTGTACTGTGCATTTGAGGAATTTAATCTCAGTGTCAGAGATCCAGATCAGATGTAACTAACCCTCATTTATTGATAATCATCAGAAAGAAAAAACATTAAACTGGCATTTCTTAAAGGAATGAATATTGCCCGTTGCCTTGCAGGTCAAAGTTTGAAACAACAATCTTGTGCGATCTATTAGTGCTCATAAAATGCGTTGTGGGTGACTCTCAGCTACTACCACGTTCAATTTTTTGTAAATATCTGTAACATCAACGGAGTTACGGCATTTTCGAATTTGCTAAAGTTGATCTGCTGTGGTGGCCTGTCCAATGCGTTATTAGATATTTTGCTAACAGAGAAATGTGCACAGGAACAGGGAATTACACGACTTTCATGTAGGCGGGCGATGATAACTGACAACCAAAACATCCTTAAAAACATTTTTATCAGAAACAGCATCAGACTCTTCTGCACCCTTTTCTTAAATTCAGTTTCTTCCCTGTTCATTTTATCTTAATTCTCCTGCGGTGCACCGTAAATATTGTTTGATAAAAATGTAGAAAGTTTGTTTAGCGTATTCTAAAGATGTATCTACAACACAAAGATTCTTCCAGCGTTTCCCTCCTTTTAGTGACATTTAATGTACCGTAACTCTCTAAAGCCGCTCACGGTTTGGTGTGTTTAAATTTTAACGCACTGGTAAAAATGGATGCTGTCAGGAAGTAGACGTCTGCAGCAAAAAGTTTTTGTTCCATCATCAGTGTGAAACGGCAGCCGCAGATGACTGGCAGCCATGCTGGAGAAGAAAACCCAGTGAAGGCAGATGGTTTCCAGCAGCCTTCAGTCTGCGCAGGAAGTCAACGGTCACATCCTCTTACGTTGGATTGGGATCTAATAAAGCTCTATCAGACTAATCTGTCGGCCTGCAACAACTGTTGAGGCTAATTAAAGCACCGCCCAGGCTGTCCGACGGTCGCGCAGCTAACCTTCTGACGAAACGTTTAACGATAAAACGCAGACAAAACGAGCAGTTACACGATCCTGTCGTGGTGGCGAGTTTGAACGCACAGAAACTTTTTTGTTGCAACTTTCTGTTTCCTTTTGAACGTGTCCCATCATGTGTTCATCTCTGTGATCATATGTACTACATCCTTTCCCTGCAGCTGTCTGGCGTTCATGGCTCCTCTGTACTCTTACATGTTGGAATGGGGCCTACATGTGGGAGCAGCTGTGTCCACGGTCATTTTCACACCAAGCTTGTATCCTGCACGCAGTTCGGTGGTTGTGCTTTATTTGACACTGCAACAGGCTGAGCTGCAGCACGTAAAAAACAAGGAATCCTGATGCGCATTGTGGGAATTACTGTTGACCCAACACAAGGCCACTTCCTTTAAAAATGTGCTCGTGCTCTCAGACGGTACGTGACGCTCCTCCATGTGTGGAGGCTGGAGGAGGTTGTTGAGTGCAGCAGAGGGAGGTGCAGACATGATGCATCCTGTCCTAAACAGCAGCTAAAGAAAACTGTCGCAGGCTGCTGTTAACGGCACCCGTTTATTCGAGCCGGGTCTGGACGTTAAACATGGCAGGAAGACGATGAGAAGGTTTTGTTTGTCGTTTTTACTTTCTGTGCTGCTTTTAGAGCTGCACAGAAATGCAGCACAGTGACACCTTCTGGGTAAAACTGGAAATAAATGAAGATTATTGTTGAATTTAACTGTGAAGAAACCGACTACAAACAGACGAAACACCAAAACAAACAGACAAAGTGTGAAGGCTGTTATTAAAACTCTCATTAGGGTCATCCAACAGAAGAAAGCTCAATCTGCTTTTATTTGCACATATTTGTTTTACTTAAATATATATAAATAAATAAAACGTTTTAAATGCATGGTTGAAAATAGCAAAAAAGCTTAGCCTAGCCTAGCCTGCTACCGCTAACTCCTTCTGGTCTGTGTGTGGTGTACGTCACCACGCACTTACGTAGTTGTGTTGCGGCTTCTTCTGTTCATGTTGAAGCAGCCGCTTCAACATGAACAGAAGAAGAAATGTGTCAGTGAAACGCTGTAATCATATCGTAATGTATATCAAAATATTGAAAAGGTGCTTAAAACTCATATCACCATTATTGAATAAAAGTATATCGTGATATATATCGATATTGAATTATTGCCCAGCACTAAAACTATTTAAAAATTTGCTGCTAATCTATTAAATTAAATTTTGTTCGCTGTGGTGACCCCTGGAAGAAAAGGGATGGGCCGAAAGAAATACAAAGAATAATAATAATAAAAAATTATGAACTACATATAATAACTTATATACTGTGTATACCTTTCAAACTTCTTTATAGAGGAAGTTTTCACTCCTGTCACTTTTAGGAAACATATAAATAAAACATTCGGGAGAGTGTTTTATTAAAATGCAACTCTTTAAGCCTTGACATAAATTCATACAAAATATTTAGAAACTACATAATAAAAATTAGAGACACCAGGTATTTTCTAATACCTCTCTCTTAGTTTTGTCTTTCTCTTTCATTGGACACACTTTCAGCAGCTTTACATATTTAAAATAATAAATAAAATAAAAAATATACATATATATAACCTTTTGTTTAATATACATGTATTAAAATAAAAAGCGGACGTTTTTTTAAAGGACACAAAAAACCTGCTAATTTTCCACATTATGGTCTTTCTTCTGCATGTTTAGAAAAAAAAATGTTGACTTCATATCGTTCAGATTCTTGAACATTAGAAATTATTTTTTCAGTTTTAATTTCAGGAAAAAACAAATTAAAAGTCTAACATTGCTTGAAGGATTTTCATATCACCAGTCACATGTCAGAATTTCAACCTAAGATCATCTTTTTAAGATAGAGAACAGTTCTGGTTGTTCTGCTCAAACCTGGCTCTGTCCTCAAAGAGTGTTTGACAAATTAAAATCAAGCTCATATTTGTGAATTGAGTTACAGCCATTTCTGTGGTTTCTAGTGTTGATCGGCTGTGGTGGCCATCTTAAATTGAGACCACTCCAAAAGTTAAAGAGTTGTAGACGTATGTCTGATAATTATTTTCTGAAAGTTTCATCAAAATCCTTCCAGTGGTTCACAAGATATTTTGCTAACAGACAGGCACAGTGTTAAATTAAAAAAAGAATAATGGCAACATAAAAAAATGCTTTTACTCTAGTAAGTGTTGTGAAGGACTTTCAGATTTCAGCTCGGTATCTGTAACGTTAACTGACTGTAGTCTTTTTTGTGTTGGATAATGTTGCTTAGCTGTGGCAGCCATCTTGAATCAGAATGACTCCAAAATTACCGTATTTTTCGGACTATAAGGAGCACTTAAATCCTTTAATTTTCTCAAAAATGGACAGAGAGCTGTAGGGATGGCGCCATCTTGTGGGCTTTCCCTGTCTGTGCGCCCTTGTGTGTCTCATTATTCCTGATTATTTGCACCTTCTGTTCTCAGCTGTTTGTAATCACGTCCTGTCTTGTCTGTGTATTTAAGCCTGTCTGTGAGTCTTGTCCTTTGTCTCGTCGCCGTTGGGTCTACCCTGATGTGTTCCAGTCCTTGAAGCTTCAAAGTGTGAGTTGCTGCCACATCAACCCTTTTGATTTATTATTATTATTATTATTATTATTAAATATCTATATTTTTGTATCTCCTGCGGTCCTGAGTGCTTGTCGACACCATTGGGTTCACCCTTGCCTGATAAATCCTGACAAGAGCCTTATCATCCAGTGCACCTTATGTATTAATTCCAGATGTGCTGACCTCGAGTGGTACAAATGAACAATGTTGAGAGTTATTGTGAACAAGCTGAATAAAGTTTGATTTATCTGACTGTTTTTTGTTTCACTCAATGCGCCTTATAGTCCGAAAAATACAGTAAATCAGAATAAGCTTTATTATCATTGCACCGAGATACAACAAGAACATGAACATGCAGTCGTCCGGAAGATGGACGGAGTTCACGAAGCTGCTACTATAACTTTCTTATCCTTTTTCAGAATAATAATCTTAGTAAATGAGCTGTAGATGTGCATCCATTGATTACTTTATAAAAGTTTATTAAAAACTCTTGCTTAATGAGATAAGTTGCCAACAGACAGACAAACAAACGGAAAAAATATATTGACTTTTCCCTTCACAAATATAAACAACAAATGAGAATAAAATATGTTTAAATGCTGTTTTAGGTTTAGAAATGATGTGAGCCGGAAACGTCTGCAAACCTCCAAACTGATGTTTGACCTTTTGTCTGTAAATATTCTGCTCCTTTTTGTGAATAAAAGACAAATAAAGACGATTTGCTTAATAAAGAAACACATCTTAGGTTCCCATACTGATAAAAAAAACACCTGTATAAATGGTAGCTGGATGTAAACATGCATGAACAAATAAACCTACAGTCCTGAGAGTTCTGAGAATAGCAGTGGACAAAAATAGAAACAGATGGGTCATGGAGAATGGAGCCAGAAAAGAAAGTAAACAAAGGATGGGTTAAAAAAAAAAAAAGAGGAAGAAGAACAGCAGTTTAATGTGCAGCACGGATAAAACTGAAGACTGACAGATGTTGGGGGTAGGAAGGAAATAAGTGGTATGAAGAGAAGCGGCGCGAGGAAGGAAAATCACAATGTGAGGATGACAGGAGGAGGAAGAGTGAGAGGCGGGGGGGGGGGGGACAGATAAGGACCACAGTGACATTAGGCAGATGGCTCCGAGCGCTCAGCTCTGTTTACTTTCCTCTTACTGTTCAAGCAAAAACAGGCCTGGAGACAAAAGTGAAACGTGCAGGTGAACATTTATACCACTAGTATAGTGGTATATAGTGATATACTGTATATGTATGGTACTATATGGTATATAGTCCTGATATCTGTGTGTGGATCTA